CGTCCAATAAGAAGAGTGAAGAAGACCCTACTACAAAATTTAACTTCACATATTTTGTCTCTGTCTTCTAAAATCAAAATCTGGCAAATGAATTTTGAATAATACGCAACTTTTAACATTCGTAATTTTTACTACCAAAATTGAACAGATTTAAGTTTAATAGGAAGGGTAGAGAGCACCTTTACAAAAAATTTGACTTTACACATTTTGCCTCAGTCTGCTACAAACAAAATTATGTTATCAAAATCTGACAAACGAATTTGCAAACTATGCTAGTTTTAAGACCTTATCCTCCTTTTTGAAATCATATAACACACATAAAATTAAAAAAAAAAAACGCTTAAAACAGTTTTTTTTTTAATAGGTATTAGCATTTTTACAGTTACTTATCCCATTTCTTTAATTTAAAAATTTTCTGATCATTTATAAGGATCAACCAATTAACTGTTTTCTATCACCTTTTCGAAAACAACCGCATAGTTTTAATCAAAGCCGAATAATGAAATTATATAATATATTACATAATGAAAATTCAGAATTAAAAATATACACATAAAATTTAGAAATTAAAATTACGTACATAATTTTAATTCGTGAAGTACAGTGGAATTAACAAATTATGAATCACTTTTTATCTAAGAGGAGAGACTGATAATTGAAAATATGTACATAATGAAAAGTAAGTATACCTATAATAAAAATTTAAATTAAAAATTATGTACATACATAATTATAAAGGTATATAATCTCATATGCAACCATACATGCACCAGTGAAAATTGGATTTCAGCACCTGCCTATGAAAATACATAAATTTTGTATTTTCTAAAACGGATAAAAAAGTGTCTAATCAATAATAAATCCTCTAAAATAATTCTCAAAATCAACTATCAATTTCTTTATGATACTTTAGATCAGTGGTATGTTTATTTTGTTTTAAAACCACTAAGAAATTTCATTTCAAGTTCTGTTGGATTGTTATTAAACTGTAATGGCAAGAGGGTTAACAAGCACCCATGTAGCAATAAGTAGCAATAATAATGCAGTGAATAAACGACACTTTCTTAAATCAAAGTCTAATTATCTTTATTTCATGCTGACACTTACCACTCTGATTTTGTTAAGGCTTGTGCACTTGAGACGTTCCCACTTCATCACTGTTATCAATTTTGCTTTTATCACATTCTCTATTTATAATGGAAACAATTGGGATTCGTATCGTTGCATTTTTAAATTAAAACATTCAGTTGTTAAAATATCTGTTCGTATATTTTCATTTTATTTTTCTTTGTCCTAATATTTGTATTTGCATTCTCATATTATTTTCTTGGAGCAACTTTCAAACGATATAAGTCAGGTCAACATGCCAAGCAAAAAATCTCAAGAGATAACAACAGTAAACGATGTAAATAAGTATAAAGCAAATAGTAACATAAATATTTCCTTCATCATTCCGACATTAAAGAATAAACAACAAAAACCACACCAGACAAAGATTTAGCAAACTATTTCGACCATTAAATTCAAACAGAATCATCATTATTGTATTCATTTTTACTGGATTAATTTTCTACAATAAAAATATATTGTACGTTTTACAATAATTAAGTTTTGTATTATTCATTACGATATATTCCCTAAAAAACTTTAATATGCAAAGAATCAATAANCGTGAGTGTGGAAAAACATTTGGATCCAGGAGCTCCCAACAAATTCATATAAGAATTCATACAGGAGAAAGACCTTACGGTTGTAGATTTTGTTGGAAAGCCTTTGCGGATGGTGGCACTTTACGAAAGCACGAACGTATTCACACTGGAGAAAAGCCCTTTAACTTTTTAAGAGGGGGTGCTGTCTCTAGTAAATTCAATATGTCTCTTTTGTTACATTGATCTGTTTTTTTAAGTTTGAAAACGCCATTTTCTGGTAAAAATTTGGAAGTTTCTAATTTAGCTTTATATGAATTTATAATATCTTGGATTATTTTTTCCATTAATTGGTTTCTTTCTGCATTATCGTGATAGACACATGGTTCAATTTCATTGGGTTTTAAAAATAGTATAAATTCTCTAATTTCCTCAAAAGAGGCGTGAGTTGAATAACACATATGAATATAATTATCATTAGATTTCTCAAAAAAAGAATTCTCAACGCATCGTTTTTTAGTCCATCTGTAAGCAGATAATTTTATGGTTCGCGTATGCTTTTGTTTGTTATAATACGTTTTACACATTTTTTTACTAAGTTTTGGATTAATGTCTTTACAGGCATGAATTTTTGAATGTTCATTTAAAGTAACCGCTTTGCCTATTTCAGGAATGTGTTTGTAAAATTCAATTGAGCTTTGAGTTACATGAATTGAAATGTTTAGTTTCTTATACAGTTCTATAAACAAGTCTTCATATCCTATGTGAGCACATGTATGTAAAAAAATTAAATTGTTTTCGTCCTTCTCTAACCATTCACTAATAAAGATAAACAAGTTGTTTACAACATCTTCCCTTGAGGGGAAACTTAGGTGGTCCGGATGAAAAAAAGTTGTATCCAAATAAACTTTATCGATATTTTTAACATCACCATTTGTATCTCCCAGCATATAGAATGCAGTAAATCTTTTAATATCTTGTGGTTTAATTCTAAAATCGCCGGTGTATAATATTATTTTATTCGTTTCTATAAGAAACATCACAGATCCAGGGCAATGGCCAGCAGGAATTAATGTTACACTTATAAAAGTATCACAGTTTTTATCATGGGATGGCACTTTTAGTAGAGTTGGAGAGTTTATAGGTAAATGTTTTATTTTTGAAGAAAGATGTGGTTTAAGACCTTTTAGAATTTGCGCAGATACGTCGGACATGTATATAAACACATCTGATCTTTCAAACAAATGTTCTAAAAACCATGGATCATCGATTCCCCCTAAATGATCAAAATGGCAATGTGAGAGTAAATAAATTGTAGAATAGTAATTATTTCCATCAAATCTATCTATACTTAAATTAGGTACTTCAGGAAGCAATCCGGGAAAATTACTCATAGTTGAAAAAATTCAAATCAAATTTACCGCGTTAACCTGGGAAACAGGAAACCTTTAATTTTGGTTTTCCACAGTTTGTTGCCTGGCGGTTTAATGATGTTAGGTTAGTTGTCACTTAACCTAATAACGATTTCGTTGAAGAACAGTTTGTCAAAAATAATATTACCGCAAATTTATAAAACACTGCTTTTTTTATAATTACACTGTGTGGTTAATAACGTGCGCCGTACTTTACGCTGAAGTGTTTCACCACTTTAAATCTACTGACCCAAACGTCAACACGATATAGTTCACAACCAGCAGCCATATTTTGTTAACCAACGCTAATCAAACAACTCACAATCGAAGGTCGACGCAGGCCTTTGTAAATCTTGGTTAGGAAGTCATTTTTGTTTTTCCAAAATTCCATGTAAGTACTTTAGTTTTACGATTATTTTTTTGTATATAAGTTTATATTATTATAATTGAAATTAGAGTGATTGCTACAAATATAACCTAATGATGTAACTTCTCTTTTTACATTCTTGCGCGAAGGTTGGTTTGTGTTGAACGTTTTGACGCGTCGTACTTTCGCGTGTGCAACATATGCATACATTCAAACTTATATTTTAAATAACTAATACAGAAAAATGTAGCTAGGCATAATGGACTTTGTTTACGTTTTTGAAATTTGTAAACTTTTTACACTAACCTCAATTATGCATAACCTCACACGTCAAAAAATTATTTAACCTAAAATGATCTTTATAGTTTGAAAAGCATCCTGTTTTCACAGATTATCAGCATGAGATAATTGGGAGACATGGAAACTGGATTTACTTTGTCATGGGAAGACCCGTCAGGGGAGGTGCAAAATGAGGAAGTTATATGTGGTATGGACAACGAGTGCACCATTCTAGCTTCAGACACAGCAGAGTATGACAATGTTTGTGAAGAAGTAATCGTTGAAGAATCTCATGAAGAAATAATTCAACCTGAAGAAGGTGCTAATATTGTATATTTAACAACTGACAATGTTCTTGTTATGCAACAATCAAATGAACAGTTCCAAGAGCAATTCATGGAATGTCAGGTAACCGAGGAAATAGTGGGAGAACAATGGAATGAGAATTGCCCAGAAATTATTGTTGGCTCAGAGGAGCATGTTGGAAATGATGATCAAAGTGCAGATGATATTGAAATACCCCTACCAACAGATCAAGATCAGTATACAACATCAAGACCCTATCCTTGCGACTTTTGCAGCCGTCGATTTCGAAGAAAGGCCAATTTAATGAATCACATGGTGGCCCATCAAACAGATCGACCACATGGATGCAACTTGTGCGGTGTTCGTTATATACGAAAATGTGATCTTATGAATCATCTTAAAATTCATGCTTATATACCAGATGATGGTTTAGATGATGAAGGGTCACAAACCGTCGACGATTCTGACACTGAACGCTCGAGAAAAGGCATAAGAAGAAAAAGAATAAAAGGAAAGATAAAAGATGAAATAGAAAACGAAACCGATAAATTTGGAAATAGTTCGCGGTCATATGACTATGTAGATGAAGATATGAAACTAATGGAAGCAATGGAGAATAATTCCAGATCTGAATACAATTCGTTCCTTCCTGAGGAAAATCACTCGATTTCTGAACCGAGATATCCAGTTATAGATCCTAAAAAACCATTTGTTTGTCAGCATTGCGGCGTTGGTTTCGCAAGAGAGAAAGCACTGGCTTCACATTCTCGAGTCCATGGTGGAGACAGTCCCTTTGAATGTCGCAGATGCGGTGAAGTATTTTGGGATGCAGCTTTAACCCGACAGCATATACGTTTGAAGCATGGAGGTGCAGAAGACAATCTAGAAGACGAAGACGATGACGAAGACTATTCTGAGCCCGAAGAAACCAAATATGGCCAATGGTTCTGCCCAACGTGCGGAATGGCATTTCATAGGCAGGATAATTTAAAAAGACACCAAAGAACCCATATTAAAGAAGAATTCACAAATGAATCTGAATTTGGACACATCTGCAATGTTTGTGGGGAATCTTTCCCAGAAGCATTGGATCTTCTTGCTCACGCCGAAGTTCACGCTCGAGGTTCCGAACATCGTTGCATGGTTTGCGGTGAATTATTTCCAGATGACCAGTCAGTTGCTGCTCATGTCCAGGCCAAACATGGGAAAAGCTTGCCACCAAATACTTGCATGCTGTGCGGTCGTACTTGCAAAGACAGACGCACTCTTTTAAAACACTCTTGGGAACATTCCCGCGAGAAATTATTTTCTTGTTCCAAATGCGGCAAAAGTTTCCATAATAAAGCCCGCTTAAAACGTCATATGTTCTCACATAGAAGTAAGGCCGTCACATGCGATGTATGTGGTGAAGAATTCCCGGACGGACGTTCACTAATGAACCACCGACACAGTCACAGCAGCGTATCAGGTCGTCAGTTTCCTTGTCGTGAGTGTGGAAAAACATTTGGATCCAGGAGCTCCCAACAAATTCATATAAGAATTCATACAGGAGAAAGACCTTACGGTTGTAGATTTTGTTGGAAAGCCTTTGCGGATGGTGGCACTTTACGAAAGCACGAACGTATTCACACTGGAGAAAAGCCCTATGCATGTGCTGTATGTCCTAGGGCTTTTAATCAAAGGGTTGTACTACGTGAACATATCCGTTCACATCATTCCGCTCCTGATCCAAATTACAGTCACAGCATGACTCCTTTTTGTTGCTCCGTTTGCTCGGATATGTTTTCTACAGCACAAGACCTTATAGTTCATCTTATACATCATTGCGACATGAATACGGCAATGAAACGACAACCTCAAGTGGGACCCCGGAAATATAAAAGACGTCGTAAGCTTAAACCTCACGAATTAGAAGTTATGTCTGATCTAATGCAAAGAAATAATGAAAATGATAACTTTAGTGGATCGGATGACGAATTTAGAAAGAGAACAGTTCCCGTCATTAAAAAACCGAAAAATAAGACTCCACCTAAAACAAACATCGAAGAAAGCTACACCGAAGTGTATAACAGTTTCACGACAGCGATAGAGAACATCAATACCATAGTTAATTCTAAATCAGTTAAACCGAAGAAAAAACTAAAGCCGGAATCCCAAGTCGTCCCTTCGAGGCCTAAGATGATTCATACTCAAAAAACTAGAGTCCCTGTTGAAAGTACTGAAGGAGGAAAAATGCGACATAAAACCAGAACCTTAGTAACACATACTCAGCCCGCCGAATTAAAATCTGTAACAGGTGAAAGAATTCGACCTCGTACTAAAAATGTTAGTTATCACATTCTACAATCAGAAAAATTCCCAGTTGCAACATTTCCTGAAGATGATACTGCCGAAGCAGTTAACAATCTTTTGGCCAGTGACCAGAATAGCAGTCAACATCATCAAGATATTCTCACTGATTCTATTGAAAGTGATCTTGAACACATTCAAAGTAATGGCATTGTCCATGCTGTAGTGTCTACACCAGAAGTTGCATCCGAACAGACTGTGGAGACTGAGATCCCTGTACCCACCAATATTATCAAGGTCACAACTCGGAAGAAGAGTAACAGCAGCGTGAAGTTAAAACCTGGCAGAAATATTATTGGACCTGGTGGAAAAGTCGTGAGACTTGTTAAAGGCGGTATGATAGTATCTAAAACGAAACAAATTAAAGAAGAACCACAAGAACCCGAAAATATAATGGCCGATTATTCAAGTGGAAATAGTACCCATATGATTGAAATTAAGAAAGAAATAGAACCAAGTCCTTTGCATGAGTTGGCTGAACTTACGGTGCAACATGCTCAAAATATATTCAAATGTGAAATGTGTAGCGAAGTATTCTCTGATCGTGAGCAACTCTTGGTGCATGTGCCTATCCACATCTGATTGTAAATGATTTGTTTGATTTTGCAGTTTTGAATTTGTTTTCTTGTAGTCTTTACATACACAATAATTTTTATCATTTTTTTAATATAATATAGTTAAAAGTTAAACTGCAAAGCTCAAACAAAATTTGTGTAAATAGCACATGTTCGCATATGTTATTTATATACATTCACTTTGCATCTTTAAAACATTGAATGAGAAAAAAAATCTGAAAAAGCAATGTTTTGTTTTTTTCAGTTTATTATATTGTATGAATATATAAGATGTATATTATGGCACAAGTGAAGTACATTTCTCTAATTAATGATAAATGCACTAGAACCTGTTAAAGACTATTTGTTGGAAGTTATGTTATGTACCCTTAGAAAATTGTGAACATATTTTTATACTTAATTATTACAAGTAAATTGTGGGGGAAAACTTTGGTACTGAATGAAATCTTAAATAGGTGCCATGTAACGCTGGCATTCAAAACAAGTTATTTAAATGTATAAAATATGCTAGGCTAGGATGATTGTCACATTTTGCATTAAATGTTTATATTATACAATATAAAGTAGATGTTTTTGTAGCTATTTGTTAGCCGTAATTATTTATTAGTTATTACTATAACCAAGCATACTGTTTGATTCATGTTTAAAACCACTCCAGAAGTAGCATTTAAAAGTTGGGGGTTGTGTAATATAAAAATAAACATGTAAAAGTTTTGATGTTAAAAAAATAAAACATTTTATCAAAAAGGAACTTTTAACTGCAAAATAAACAGGTATCAAAACTGCATATTACCACTTAAATTCAGGAATAAAAGTAAGTCATATTACAATAAGCTATTTTCATGAAAAGAAATTTTTGTATTTTAAATTCTACTTCTGGTTAATTAGAATATTTCCCAATTTGCGGAAGTGGCTGGTTCATAAAAAGTGGATAAAAAAGAATGGAAAACTTTCATAATTTTAATCAATGCCGACTTTTAATGAAATTAAAATGTTAACTTTGTTTATAAATGCGCTTTTTAATATTTTAGCTAAATTTAGAAATGGCGTAGGATGCTAATCAGGCTTTAATTTTTTTAAAGACGCTTATGAAAAATTGCAAGGTTTTACCAATTAAGAAGATATTTTTTTGTTCCCTAATAGAATCAGTTCTCTTCCTAAATGGCATACTGTAATTTTCCTGTACATAATTCTAAAATTTAAATGAATACCTGTGTACTTTAATGGCGTATAATAAAAATATTTCATTAATGGCAAAGTATTTCATTAGAAAAATATTTTTTTTGTAAATATGTATGTAAACCAGTGTTTTAATTATACTTATAATCAAAAAAGGGATTTATCATTTAAACTCTAAATGCCGTCACTGAACTATTTATTTCCAGTTAAATAACACAAAATACTTATCGTTCATTTTATTCTTACAGTTAAAGAGTACACATTACAAAAATATCTTTAAAATTAATTATCATACTTGATCGTTATTTACACAATTTTGAATCTTCGTATTTATAAGAAGATAAAAATACGATTTTTTGGCTTGCACTTTGTTAAAATATAGTAATAGGATTGGATTTAACCCATATTTTAGCAATAAAGAATAAATTTCCAATAATAATGAATTTATCACCTGACTAGAACTGATGAGAATCTAAATTATATTACGAATAATATTAAATAGGTTCTACAACTACTACTACTCCTAAATAAAGTTTCAAAAACGGATTTAATTTTTAATTAGTGACCCTTATGTACTTATCGTACTTATATTAAAACAACGAATATGCCTTTTTTGACGCAAATGACTGCATTTTTATGTTATAAGACCAGCAGTAGATTCAGTAAATTTAGCTAGCATTGACTGAACAATAAACACATGTTGGGGCATAAAGTAATCTTCGTTTACAAACATGAATATTTACAATTATTAGTTTTCCTAAATAAGTATATTTTTGTGCATTTTTTAAATAAACGTGAAACTTTATTAAAATAATAGAAACATTCAGGAAATGCATCATTTGATGTGATATATATGTATATAAAAAAGTGTACCTATAACTTTTAAATTTTACTTTTTCAGAAATAAAGGTATGTAAATATAAATTTCACTGAAGAATAGTTAATACTATAATAGTATTTCATGTAAATTAAGGGGTACTGTATTATATGACACAAAATAATGAAAAATACTAATACCCTGTAATAATACAACAGCTGTATTTACATTTTAGGCAAACATGAAACATGGAACTGTATGTTTTCAACATGCATATTGTACTACAAAGAGGAATAACATTTACCCTGCATATTTACGATTTATAGCATTGCTGCTAGCATTTTTAAGTTGCTATTTGAGTCTCGTATTTCTGAGAAATTAATCTATATATGTAGAAATATCTACAAAAAGTATTTAAAAATTATAAAAAATAAAAGTAACAAAACCAATGGGTCAAAATAACATAAAATTATATTATTTATTATATGTTTTTACTTAATTGAGAAATTTCGAAATTGGAGACCCAAAAATTAAATGCCGCATTTGCAAAATTCTATATTGTTGGATGGATTTTACTTTTTGAGCAAAAACGGTTATAATAAAAAACATTTAGATCCGACTTAAAATAATACATCGAAGTATTTTAAAATGGTTTCACATTTCAAATGACTTATTGTCTACTTGTCCCGGATTTTTTAATACAATTTTCACTATATTTTTTTAATAAAAATCCAAAGTAACTGAAAATGTACATAACAAGAGAGATTCATTTTTGTATAACAAGAAATTTGTTGCTTTCAATTTCTGAAATAATAAGTTCCTTTATAATTCAACAGGTCTCTTGATTAGTGTTAATTTAAAAAATCAATTGATACATGCATGTATGTAAGTAAATGTTCTCGGCTTCTTTGTGACAAATTGCAAATTTTCTCAATTCCTCAAAAGCAATTACACTATGTAAAATACAATTACAGTAGCTTTCTACCGTTTCTATACATATAATAGTACATTAGCTTATTTTTTTAATTCAATATATAAAAAACCTGGCAAATCTTCATTAAAACAGGAATAATACAAAAATATCATTTTTTTTAACTAAATATACGTAAAGGCTGCATTAAAATAAGCAGTTCGTAATTTATAAAAGCAACATGTTTATCATGATTGGGAAATGACTAGTGTCGATAAGAGTATGAAAACGATCCATGCGATAGTTTAATAAGTATAAAAAAAATTCTTTTGGTGGCCAAACTTGATCATTTTCTTTTTGTTTTTAGCTTTTTTGGTATTTGCCCATTATTATTAATATATTTCATACTGACTGAATGAAGATATCACCCACAATTTTTCATCGATGTATAAAAAATTATAATCTGGCTCGTTCAATATGAAATTTGTATATCGATAACGCAATTAAAAGAAAAAAGGCAAGTGCCAAAAGGGCTGAGTTTGATCACTAGAACAATTGCATTTAACTATTGAAGTGATCCTACACTTTATAAATTATATTATCAATAGCAAAAGGAATACAAAAAATAAAAACGCTTTTAGTAAACCTGATAAACTCAAGTATTTAGGAGCCATTTTCACATCTTTATAGACATCAGTCGTTGTTTGTTCGCAATAAAATGAGAAAATATCTCAAATGTAGCTTTTTTCTTACCTTATAATAATCAATAACTAAATAATAACTCCCTATTTAAGGCAATATTTACTGTTAATGATTTCGAGTACGCAAGAGACATGCCGATTAATATTTTCTTTACATCTTTGTTTTAAACTTGATTACTCCAGTTTTAATATTATTTCATCAAATTGAATCAGCGCAATCACAATAAAGAAATGCCACCAATACAAATTATAAACAAAAAAATTAATTAATAAAAACTATTCTTGTATCACATCAATTTCTATTGCAATAATAACAAAACAAGAAATAAATTAGTTAATAAATAAATTAGACTACAGTTTACAATTACTTTCATGTACAGTTTTTTATAAAAATGCGTTACATTCTAGTATTTACAAATGTGATTCAGTTAAGACATAATGACGACGGCACTTACGAGTTATAGTACTAGTAATAATATTCAATAAGTTATAAATTGCACAGTCAAACACCAAGTTACACAGTTCACATACCTTATAACTAGCAATAAATAAAGCTCATTTAAAATAATAAAGTGATTTATAATAATTCTTACTATTTTTTAAGCAGATTGAAAGGCTTATTTTAACGGAATTGACAATGAGTTAAGCGTTTAAGACATCTTTTATAAAGAATTATTTTTATTTTCAAATAAAAAGATTACCACCTTAGTTTAATTTTTTGAAGCCATAGTACATTAAGTTTTATTTAAATTAACTCAAAGAAATTCACAGATCCTCAATAACATTAGACAATACACTATTGTACATTTTTACTGTTTGTTATTGATCATTTGAAAAGAACAGTAATAAAAAATAGGTAAGACACTGCATCTTTTTTAATAGTAATTTTTATATTTTAAAATGAATAGATCAAGCGCAACGTTTTGTATCAGAAATCCATTTGCATCGCACAAGAACGGTAGTAGTACGTAAAAATTAATTTTCAAAAAAAAAAACATTCCATTAATGAATATTAAAACACTACATGCCCACCCACTCTTTTAATACGTCCACTTTGCAACTTGCTAAAAGTTTCAACAATTTCAAATAGGGACATACTTTAATAGCAATTTTTACTTCACTTTTACTCAAAAAAAGCGAGGAGTATTAATTACTGTTCGCTTCTTTCAGAATGAGATCTTTTTATATTAATTTTTTACAGTGCTTGCCAAAAACTGTAACCAGATAAGCAGGTGAATTACACTTGAAATCATTGGTAAATATTTTTACAGAAAAATTGCCTATTATTAGAATGAATTTATCCCTACTTTGTTTGCAGTAAATAGTAAACAAAAACAAATAGTTTTTTTTAAATAGTACTGAATAAAACTTATTACAGTTTTACCTGTATGTAAGAGTAAATTATTCTTTGGATCTCTTATCAAGAAATGTAACCCTCAAACAAAAAACATTAACCATCTCACTCCTAAATTGCCTACAGTGTAAAGCTATGTAGCTGTTAGTTTCAAAAAGCAAAAATCACATACCTGCTGTTTCAGAGGGGAAACTTGCTTCTACCTCGTGTTCACACATTTCAGTAGTACTAACAACATATCCAAACATAGAAGTCCGAAACATTCAGAATAATAGGATAAAACACACATATCACGTATATAATTACCAAGTACGTAAAAGTTACTACGAAATTATTATATACTTGCGACCGGGTGCAAGCTAGCTGATTTTCATACGTTTGCTCGTCATGCGTTCTGAAGGACTGGTGCATCCAAGTTTAGAGTTGTTCGCATTTCCATTACACAGACTCGTGTCATTAGAGCAAATACCGACGTGCAGCATTTCTTCTTTCTATAACGATGTCGTTACAAAAATTAATTAAACTATCTACACATTTCTCTGCAAAATTCACGTAATTCTACATAACCATAGAAGTTTTAGGTTACTGGAAATTTGAAAAGTAAACACAACCTCAAAAAAGTACTTGTATTGAATTATGGGAGAATGTCAGAAATTTTAAAAAATTAAAACAAATAAGAAAGGAATTCATGATAAAATTTCTTTCACTATTGTAATTTTTAATATTTAGTTACTATTATGTATATTTTCCAAGTGGTTAATAAATGAATAAATTAATTACAACAGTTATAATTTTTCATAAAAAAAAACTCGCAAAAAGTTATTGTGTGGCAAGTAAACAAATTTAAAAATTATTTTACTTAATTTGAAATCTTTTCTGATCAATTGTTTAAGAACAATTTATACTTAATAGAAATAAAATACTTACAATTCCCTCTACCATTACAGCAATAGGAACAACACCTGTTGCTTCAGCAACTTGATGTTCAATTAGGTAAAACATGTACTCATCATAGAGTAATCGAATTAGATGAAATGACCCGAAACTTGCAGCTGACCTTAAGGTTAAATCGCGAATCACCATGGAACTGAAAATAAAACATCATTGATAAATTAAATAGATTACGTGAGTTAATTTTATATTTTACCACTGACCTATAAAAGCTCCACTTTAACAGAAATTGGCGCGCCGCCTTCGAAAAGCTTGGCTTGCCCTCGTATGGCTTTAATACTGATGTGACAACATTCTTCAGCCATGAAGCCCACTGTTCCAATGAGTTTTGCTGTTGCAATGTCAATTTGAAATCTGCCTCGAAACGGGCTACCACGTCATGATCGCATTGACATACCCACGACGCTTGTTCTCGAACGCTATGGAAATCGACACGATTCAAATCAGCCAACATTTGCGCAATTTGTGTGCCATTATGAAGGACGGCACGCGCTGCCTGGGCCAGGTGATTAAGAGAAGTGTAACGACGTAAACTTGAACCAAATGCTGATACTGCAGATAGTTTGGCTTGTAAAATAGCCGGAGGAGCTCCCGTCATTGCCGTTGTAAGCCAGCTTTCCAAACCTGAATTCAAAATTAATTATTTATGTCAACAATTAGTAACTTTTAATTACTTTTTGCGAAATTCCTTATACATTGCGTTAATGTTGCAGGTATAGGCTTAAGAACATCAGGAACAAGAACTTGTATCAAATTTTGGTAAAACATCAGATCTACCTGACGAACAAAAAGTTGAATAGGTTCCAAATTGCACAAGGAAAACAATTTTGACCTGAAAATAATAAAAACAAAATATGGTTCAAAATTTTAAATTAAATTATTTTATATACTTGGAAAGGTATTTTTCTTCTTCACATTCGTCTCCATTATTGTTGTCTTGAGATCTCCAAAACTCTCTCCAAAGCGACTCTATCGTACCGAATTCTAAACTCATGATTGCATCCAAAAATGCCTCCAGATGTTCTCTATAAATCGACCTATGAAAGATATTTCTTTTTAATACCCAGAAACAAAAAACAACCACTAAACGTACTTAAATGTATCGACGTCTTCAACACTACAATCTTCGGGCAAACCCGCCATAAAGTGCATATCAGGAAAATTCGGAATTGCGTTACTTCCATCCCCCAAATAAGATAAATGTTGTGTTATGGGACTAATGGGAACCGATGGGTCAGCATCCGAATTGCGTTTAAAGTTGCGATTCATATTATTTGACACTTTACCACTCACTGTGGTTGCACCAGATAAATTTCTTGTTGAACTATCCTCCACAGTTGTTAATGATGAACCAGGTTTTACACGAATTCCATAATAATGATATTTTGAATTACCCCTTGAAAAATACGAATATTAGGTTATAAATAATGAACATAAATAGAGATAATGAAAATGATATTTTCCTTTTAAACTATTTTTTCGAATTACTTACCGAGTTCCTAATCTTCTAGTACGTAGTCCAAGAAAAACGGAACGAATTAGTTTACCAAATGAAGCTGCGTTAACAGGTTCCAGCTTATTGTCGGCACAGTGTCTCAAATAATGAGCATATAAAGTTGAACGAGGCAAGGAAACTCCTTCGGCCGTCTCATAGTTTTCTAGTAACCATTGCACCTGTGAAAAAACCAAATTATATTAACCAAACATTAAAAATGTCACATTTTTTAATTAGTGTTTTTTTATGTTAAGTGTAATGATGCACTATTATCTATTTTATACAGTATAAATATAATACAACTACAAGAATATGAAAACTACGGCTGTATCACTTCTATTAATAGTTTATCAATCATCTTTTCATTTTCTTAAATTTCTTCAGTAAACTGACAAACGTGTGGCTTACGATTTCTCAATAACTACCTCAAAAATAGGAATATACTACAAAACAATTAAAAATTTGTTAGATCACGTGTTAGTGGCTAAGAAAAAGAAAATTATTTAGTGTTACAAAGACTTACAGTTGCCGGGGATACGCGAGTGGCGTGCCCCAAAGCAGATCCTACATCTTCTGAGACTTGACCAGGAGCAGTCGAGGTAGCATGCACAGTAGCTGTTGCCACATAATTCGCATCCTGTATCCGGTTAGTAAGCACCACAACCAAGTCAAAATTAGAATAATAAGAAAAAGAAGAGGATGACAAAAGCACCAAATGACAGAAATGCTAATTTATGTTTGTTTAAAAAAGCCATAACCAGTTTAGCAAACTGATATGTTAATACTAAGAAGGTATGAAAAGACGACCAAAACATCACAAAATTGCGTTTTGGTTTTGTAAAATAATTAATGAAAAATAATTTTAAAATTACGGTTTTTTATTATTTAGTTTTGATCTTTATTCTTTATGTATAACCTACCGCGCTTGTAGTTTGGGGTGAATTTCTACTGGAAGCTATGAGGGCTTCCGCGTCCACGGTTTGTTGCACAAGATAATGACCGCCACCTGTATTGTAACTAACAGCATTCGTAGCACCAGTCGCCCCTGTATTTGCAGCATAATACTGCCCCTGACTAGCATATAAAGTGCCGGATTCTCCTACGGTGTAGACCGGATACGCCCTGACAAAACCGTTTATTATCAAAAATCAGAGAATAAATTTATTATTACTTACATTTGTGTTTGACCGCCGTTTGTTTGTGAAGCATATATTTCGGGTTCAACATACTGAACATGGTATCCTTGATGAGAAGCCACAGTTTCTCCTTCTGATGCAACTAACAGAACGAAGAAATCTCTAATCATTTACTTATAGAAAAATTTTAATAAAAAAATTAAATATTAATTTTACAAAATTTAAATTTTTATTCTGCATAATTGCAATCTCTTAAAAATCATCTTGTATTCCTATTTAAATAGTTTTTATAAGTATCTCCAAAGACCTTCTTCCTAACAAAAAAGCAGTCTTTCACACGTTTGAATAATTCCTAAAAAATAAACTTCACGAAAATGCAAGCTAAAACTTACGGAGCGCTTTTCGTTCTTTAACATTTTTCTTTTTCTTTATTCAAACAGAAGCAATTCCCAAAATAATACAGTGATTATTTTTTCCTACCTTGTCTCCAAGACAACTCACAAAACATACTCTTCACCAGAGAGCTAACGTCATACTAATCGTAAGAGGGTACATGTTTCGATAGCACAAATCGAACACCCTCTTCGTATATTACACGGGAACCCCCAATTGATGTTCAATCAGGTGAAAATAATACATGCACATAATAGACGATACTTTCATGCTACAAGATTACCTGACGAACACGTGGCGGATCAAAATGGCGGGACTTGGAACGGTTAGGAGAATGATTCAGATTTATTATCCGGACGGGATCAAGAGGGATTCGATGTAATCCCTGTTTATTAAAGCAGGACAGTGTAAAGTACAGGTACTGCAGCACATCAATTACAAAGGCTGCTTTGTAATTCAATACTATAATTATCATGATTAAAGGTAACAAGTTCATTTTCCCTTTGCATTGAGCGATTTAATAAAGGGGTGCGTAACGTATAAAAAAAATAAATCAATAAAGAAGAAATTTGGCACTCACAAATACTTAGTAAATTTTATTTTCTCTTTTTAAAAATACTTTTCTGAAAATTTTCACAAAAGTAGAAAAGTATAGATTTGACAAATAAAAAACAATTTAATCAGAATAATTCTACTGTAAAAACATATTTAATACCAATATCATGCCCTATTCACCACAAATTTTACACTACACAGAAGATACCGAACAAGTAAGGGTGCAAAATGTATAAAATCGGAATTGTGCTTACCTACAGCAGGTTGCACTGGTGTTAAAGAAGCATATGATCTAGCAGCAGCTTCTGGTTGCATTAAAAGATTTAAATGACCTTCGTTATATATTAATTAAACTGTTCATCACAAAAACGCATTCATTTGTATTTAAGGAAAAGCTCAACAATTTCAATTTTTATATTAATCCCAAAACGATGGAATTATAGTTCAGCCTCTCACAACTGTTTGCTTCGTGAAAAAAAAAAATTAAAAGGTATAAAAGTTATAGAAACGATATCATAAAGTTGTTAAGAACTTACAATTAGTCAACTTAAAAAATATTTATCTCAGGTGTAGTTTTAAAAACAAATCACGGTTTATAATGCCTCACAGACGTTTGAAATTTGATTGAAGATTAGAAAATGGAACTTACCCGTCACTGTTATAAATTGAGGTGAATGTGGGCCTATAGGATCCGTTTCGTGAGTTTCCCCTGATGTCTCAGCAGTCACAGAGCTCTCATTGCTTGAATCAGCAGCTTGTTCCAAGGCAGACACGTCTATAATAGGAACTCCATTCGGTAAAGTGTTTGTTGTTGCCTATTAAAAAAAAAATATTATAAAAGAATTATAAAAAATGCAGTAATATTTTGATATTTTTTTAATATTACAAAAAGCAGTTTAAAAAAATGGCAATATAAATGTTCTCAGTAAATATAATATAGATAAATTTCACAAATAATAAAAATGGGGAAGTGAAAGGGGAGGCAACTAGCTTTATCTAATCTGCACTTAAAAAACCAAAACAAAAGCTGCTTTTCAATTAAAATCAATAAATGATGAACGAGTCAAATTGCTAAAATGAACAATCAATAGAAAGTGAAGTCTGGAAAGTTGATAAGGTGAGATAGTTGAAATTACCTGGTGTATACTAGCAGGGAGCACAATAAGCTGGGTAGGTTGTGGCTGATTTGGAGGTGTCGTTGCTGGTGCAGGGGTAGGGGAGCTGCTGTTGCCTCCAGTTGCTGCGAACCGAGCTGTAGTTGCCATGGCTGTGTTTCCTTGACTACACCTGCCCACTGAAACATCCAATCCAGATAAATCATGTAAAATATTACTTCACTTTAGAGACATCATTGTCCTGCTAAGGTGAAAAAGCACTATGACTTTACGAACATCACATATCAATAATCTGCTCCCATTCAGGCACGCACAATAAAACCCTCCCTGAATAAGTTCAAAAGGATAATAACATTGATTTTACACTTCCTATCCTAAAAGAAAAACATAATATTAATGCTGAAAATGAAGACATTTAAAATAAAAACAGCTTATGACAAAAATAAAATGTATTTATTTGAAAATTTAAGAAATAATTACTTTTCAACTAAGTATAAAAGAACTACACTTCAAAAAATATTATTTTGAGTTTAACTAAAGTGAAAAGCTCTGTAGATTGACTGAAACAGGCACTAAATTCATACCTTTTATAAAAAAAGAGATATGTGAACACCCCTATCCATATCAAGTGCAAATACAACCAGCATGTGCCAACAAACTATAATATTATATAGTGCTATCTATACATATGCACCTGGTTATATACATGTGAACTGTTTCCTTTGTATGGTTCTTTAGGGATTACATTAGCTTATCACTTGCACCTGTAGTAGTAATTGTGTACCTTCATGCCAATGAGTCATGCTTTAGTTGGATGGAGAAAATAATAACGAAGGGTCAAAATAAGGGAAACTAAATTAGGTAGGGTAGTGTGCTGGTAGTGAATGATACCATATAAAATTTACTATCCTAGAATTACTTTGTAACACAATTGATTGAATATGTTAATGAATGAAATTAAAATGGTTCATTTTTAAACACTCCTCGAGCCCTTTCAACATCAAAATTCATTCAGATTTCTTTGAGAGTGAAAGTAATTACTATAGAGACACCATGACAACCAAAGGGAATAAAACATTGACTATATTTGCCACAACTTCCCTATCAGAAATGCAAACATTGAAAATAATTTAAAATAATATATATTAACTAAGAGATAAGTTGCCAAAGTTTATTAGCATTGGAAAAAGCAAAACCTTAGAATAGAAAAGCTTAAAGAAAATAATATGGATATCAAAGAAAATATTCTGGGAAATTACTTTGAAAATGAGTTGTATCAAGTTAATTTTGAAGTCTTAATAACATCATTTCAGGGGCAAGTCAACCATATTTTTGTTAATCAAACTCCAACAGGGTAATCAAAGTCAAATTTACCTTCTACAGAATTATCGCGGCAGAAAGTAGCCAAATAAATTGCAGTAAGTTAGTACATTTGTGTGAAGTTAATTTGTTTCCAGGAATCTCAATTTAGAAGTTTGATAACCTGATATTTTTAAGAAATACATCATAAGGTGGTGATTTCGAAATATAAAACGTCATTTAACAAGCACAAAGCATACACATGCACATCTAATGATTGAGGGAGCCATTTTTATACGTAAAATAAGTATTAAATATATGCAAAACACACCTCACGCGTTCCACTACATTTATAACTGATAAATACACTTTAACAAAAAAAACTGGTGATGTTTTCATCCATTTGTGCAAAATTTTAACAACAATTACGTCCAATTACCTAAGTTATTAATGTTGTTGTATTGGTTGCTAGGCTGTCACCAAGGATACGGGCATTGAATTCTTTCCTTATGATTTTGACAACTGACGTTTAAGGTTAAAATACACTTCATGTTTTTAACTTTTTTTTTAATTTTAATAATTACTTGTTATAACCAATATTATTAAATGTTAAGGATTCAATGTTCCTTATTTAATACATTGTTTAAGTAAAAAATCATCGAGAAAATGAGACAGTTCATGGTTATTATTATCAGTAAAAGGCAAACCTTTCAGGCAAACTATTAAAACCAAAATAACNGCATCATGTTGACTTTTGTTCATAAATATAATAACTTTATTTGCCTTTTGAGTTTTTGAGAAGATTTGTGCTAAAAAGATCTGATGGTAGTATTTGCAAAGTCAAACTTGTGCCCACAGTTCAGCTACTCTAATACGTTACTCTAAAAATTAAAACTACCCAACAAAAAATACGCCGATCCGAAGAAAACTTCCGACTAATTTCTGGAGAGAATTAAAACAATAATTAAACTGCTGTAACCAATTTCAAATGAACTATAAACAACGACAAATTAGTGATTAATGTAATTTGTACAGTTAATAAAAGTTTGTAATCTTAATGTCTACTTACAACTTTTTGAATAGGGTAGGTTGAATCCGTAATTAACTTGCATTTTAAAGACCTTCAAAAATATACATTACTTTAAAAAGCATTTACGTACAACTTATTTCGTTGCTAGGAAACTTTCAGCTCATTTTTGTTTCCAATGGCTACTGTCTCAGTTAATAATAAAATTACAATTTTCTTGTAGTCTATGATACAATTTATAATTATTGTTTCATTTTATTTTGATTGTTCATGCAAAGCCGATGAGCATTTTCCACCCCTTATTTGTAAGATATTTTAAAATTTTTATGCATCATCTAATGTGCAAGATAATAAAAAACATACTTCTGCTTTGTCACATGGGCTAAGCTGTTTAACTCTAATCAATAGTTGTTGAGATATAGCTACCACTTGCAAGAATTATGTGATTAGAAAATACATTTCTACCTTTTTGTATAGGCTGAGATTGCCAAAATCTAATAAATCAGAATTAACTAGTGGGCATTTTCCACATTCCAGCAAAAATTTTTTCTCATTGAAGTAATCTGTAGCGAATAGAATATTAATTCAAAAACTAATGTTTCATAAATTATTAATGTCTATCAAGTAAGGAAAATAATTTCTTCATGACTTCTATTTTAAGTATATTTTTTTGTAGATCTATCTGTTGTACACAACATTTTGCAAATTAAATTTCTCCTTTATTATAGAAGTTGAGATTCATTAAATATCATATGTAGTTATTGAAAGATATGATTGACATGAACTGGTGAGCTTTTCTACCCTCTGTTTGTTTTTTCTTCTAATGTTTTGGAAAATGTAATCGGCTAAAGACACTGACCTTTTCAGTCATCCAATAATTTTGTTATAAAAATTCATATATTGTTAGTTTTTGTTTAATTTAATCTAATTATATCATTACTGCAGACAACATACAGTTTTTCTTGTGCACTGCTTTTTTTAATGAATATACAAATAGACAATAAGGGAATTGTTTATTTGTTTAAGTGGACGGTTTCTACAGGAAAAAAACTGTTTTCCATTAAAAATATGTAATACAATGTTATAAGTAGCATTTAAATATTGAAACTAATTATCTTTTGAGGATATTAAAAACTGAATTACATTTCTTTGATTTCCTGTAGGGAAGATTGTTGATTGTTACCTTAAATAAATACTTCTGATCAATGCAGCTAATAATAAATCAAATAAAAAATGTATAAATACATCTTTGTTATCTATTCAAAACTCTATGTGTGGCATTTGATACATAAAAAATAAAAGAGCAGCCTTAGAATTTTCTCCATTCGATAATAGCCTTTCCAAAAATTCTTCTATCCAATAGCAGTAGGAATTACAGAAACTTCAAATTTATATCTTGCATTTGTCAGGTTCACAGACATAAAAATCTTAACTTGCTTCTGCATACAAAAGACTATTTGTACATATAAGAAAAATTCAGTTAATTGTTGTCTTTGACTTATTGAATAAGTTTATTTTAATAAGACCACATTTTAGAGAAGCCCAGTCTTCACTTCCATTTAACACTATTAAATACTTACGATCAGTTCGTATAATTTTTAAATTATTTATTCACTAATTAGCATGATTTGCAACACAGAGAAAATTCATTTAACCAATTTTTCCCATTACGAGGTCTAATGAATCGTGTAAAACTATCACAAATGTGTTGTTCCATCGACCGTCAAACAATTTACTACACATTCACTTAATTAGGAACAAGACCAGAAGAATAAACTTATATAACTAAATAAACCCCATTAATTGCAAGAATGCAAGAAACTTATTCATCCATTTTTTAGGTTAAAAGTTACTTATGATCCACAGATAACTTTGTCACCCATAAATCTTTATTACCATAGATAAAATTAGCTAGAACAAAAAGTTTTCCATCAGAATTTTAATTACCCTGTTATGTGATAAAAAAAGATATTTTTTCTTTTCATGTTTACAGCACCATTGCATGACAAAAAGTAAAAGCAATAATAATATAAGCACTAATTATTAGCCACCAAGAAAATAACGCGGGAAAACTCTTAATACAGAATTTCAAATTTTCGGATTACTATTCTAACGCCTTCACCATTTTTTTCTTCAAAAAATTATTTTATATTTAAAATAGAACATTCGTAGCGTTTATTAAAATTTAACATTGCTTAATTCTATAATATTTAAAAATAAATATACATGCATATTTATTTTACACTTGATTTAATTTACAAACTGTAGTATGTACTACTAAGTACGTATTAATGGTTATTATGATAAGTTGATAAATAAAATAGTACATTAATAAACAGGATATCTCTATAATTAAATATTTAAGGAACTGATGGATTGATTTCATTTTCGAAACGTTATGGGCTATACTTCGAAGTTATTATTACCGATGTTGGAAGATATATTATTCTTTGCATAAAACTTATCGACAAACCATTTATCTTTTTTTTGGGGTTCCGTTTTGTAAAAAGTAATATAGGGGACGGGAGCACAAAATTTCGAGCAAGCAAATCCACGGACAAAAGCCGGTGTTTTTTAAGGAACTAAACATCTTTTTTAATTAGTGGGAAAAGTTTTATGCATTACATCCATTATGAAACTAATGAAAGGTAATCAAACTTCAAATTTTGATAAGTACCAAGCCATTATGTTGTATGCTTTATTTAAACGCATTTTTTAGATGTTAAGAAAATCCTTATTAAATAATACGGATTGTCTACACGTAAAGTAAAAACGTAATTTACTTATAATATTTTATTGTAAAATGACAAAGAATAAATCTAAATTCATCTGAACCATATTGATAATTGTATATTATGTAAAGTATTACACATTTAATAGAGATTCTAATGATTTAACCTAAATAAAATGTCAACCTTCATAAAACACTGCAACAACATAACATCAAAGTCTAATAATTATGAACTGGCCGTTCACAATTTTTTTAATACTGATCTTGGCACCCAATATTTATTGAAATCTGGATAATCAGATCAATGAAATTAATTATTCAGAGGAAAATTCGAGGGCCAAAGAAAAATAGATAAGATTGTGTACAAGAACGTGCAATAGTTAATGTACTTCCTACAACTATTGCATCATGTTGACTTTTGTTCATAAATATAATAACTTTATTTGCCTTTTGAGTTTTTGAGAAGATTTGTGCTAAAAAGATCTGATGGTAGTATTTGCAAAGTCAAACTTGTGCCCACAGTTCAGCTACTCTAATACGTTACTCTAAAAATTATCTAAGTGTATATAGAAGAGTATATATGAATAGTTATAGGTTTGATATAAGTATGTATGAATGATATACAATAAATAGACATTTATCAATGATTCTTAGTTGATCCCACGGTAGGCACAGAGGCCGTAACATATGTTTTACTACGTTTTTTTGTATGTGCCAGATCATGTTCAAATACTTATCGTCACTATAAACTTTCAATCTGCCATTAACTCAAAACAACTTAAGCAACATTTTATATAGTAGATTAACAATATATTGATACTCTTATCGTTAGTGGGTATGCAAAGAAGCATATAAATTCTCAACTGAATTAAAAATAAGTGATATGTTCACATTAAATGGTTTGCAATTTTTTAATTATCACAGTATTGTTCCTGTAGAAATCTGTAAAAAAGGGCAAATTCCCATTTATTTCACTGTAATATATTTTACGAGTTTCGCTAAAAAATATTGATAACCATCCTTTTGGAAAAATAAATTCAAATTTCATGAACACTAAATACAGTGTTCTTAGTGAAGTGCAGTCAATTATAGACAGCGGTCATCAAGCCCGAATACCATATTTTCTTCAGCTATGAAAGTTTTAGCTTTTTCTTCAGGCTTTAGTTTATTCAGTTTAGCATTTTTCAACATTTTAACTGTAAAGCTTTTGTAAAATACAGATTGATTTATCCACTTCCTAACAATAGACTATTGTTGGCATTAAACATATATTTTTGCAAAGTCAAACTGGTGCCCACAGTTCAGCTACTCTGTACATTCAGTTTTGCGTTTGCAAATACATAATTACAGGGCTTTTATGCAATTATAATTACCTCTGATAACATGACCCAATAATAACACTACAAAAAAAAATCGTTAGAATGTTAAAACTGTGGAGAACCACAAATAAGCCTGACCTCTACGAATTCGAATTTAGTGTACTTTGTTTTCGACATCTGCCAATCATAAATGCTTAAAAGATAAATGTGTGTCCCTTACTACTTCAGTTACTTAACATAAGTTGATTTCTTATTTAATTTACGGTAAGATTCGCCTCCTTATTTAGTTTTTATACAAAAAACGATGCTTAATTTGCTAAAGAGTTAATTGCAGACTGCGTGATTTCTGTTTGGGATGCAAAAGCAAACAAAAGTATAAAAACAACGTGAAATTAATTAAAAAAACTTTAATGCAACATAAGATTAAGAAAAAAGTAGAGAAAGTAACAGCAAAAGTGTTATTTCAATACAAAAAAATTCAATAAAGAAAATGGCATAACTGAACAAGAAGCTGATAAGCAGTGTTAACAATAATAATAATAATACCGAAAAAAGGAAAAAAAAAACGATAGAACGTTAGCGCAGTTTGAAAGACACATTTGTGCAGAATGAAAGTCGTTACTTAAAAAAATATATCTTTAAAACACACACAATTACAGTGTAGATATTGACTTCGAATTTGGCAAATGCATTCATGCCACTTTACATACACATTTAATAATTAATTACAAATACAAATTAAAAGTGGAATATGAAATTCCACCATTTCAAGGAGGGGGTAAAACAAGAATTTAGATCACATGTTTTCTTCTTATTCAGCGGTTACATTTAAAATATAAGAATAATGATTGTCGAAGTGTACATAGTTGTGGTAATAGTAGTAATAGTAGTAGTAGTAGTAATAATATAATAATCGATATAGAAATGTGTTTTTGCATTATCTTTTCTTGCGACAAAAACAGGCAAGCACCTGCTGCTTACAATTAAGAGATTCCATGGCAAATCCCTGTCGATGTTCTTAAGCAAAACAAACGTGCCAACTTTTCAGTTTATCCAGGGAAAATAATTTTTCACCAAAGAGACTAAAATTATGCAGACTAGGACACTTGCCTGCGGCCACCTGTTAAGTTATGAACCATTCTCAGATCTAGTAAATGAGAAATATCCATATTCTAGGGTAGAACTACACCCTGTAATACCCTATGTACTAATAATCACTGGCTAAATTTACTTCTAACGCTAACTTACTCCTAATTTTTCATCCGTAGAATAACTAACAACGCTAACTATAAATTTCAGATTATTTCATATCAAATATACTCTCTGTTCATTTGAAAAAGGAAAAAAACGTGGAAAAAATAGCTCGTTCGTCATTATATAATATTTTTATGCGCGCTATTCATTTTATTTATTAAGAATTACTTACATTTTAATGTAATGATATGAAATAGTCTTTACATTTAACACTCAGTAAATAGTCCACTGAAAGTGGAGTCATTCTTTTCAACACATATTTCTTATCTCGTTCTCGTCTCTGTATCCGACCTCGATTCTTAGTTATTAAAGCCTTCCAATACTGAACCATAATTATAAGATCAAATCAAATTATAAAATACAAAAAAAAAAACGAAAAAGTATCCGATTTAAACAAAAGTATTCGAAAAACTTCTTAAAAATAATTATAGAAAAAAGAAAATATACTGTTTGTTGCAACAGCAATAGAAAAACCGCATTAACTAAAAACTATTTATAAAAAATACTTGTAATCATACTGTTTTGTCATTCTACATTCCAAAAGCTAACTGTCTGTGTAATAAATAAGCGTTTGCTCCATGTAAATATAACAACTAGCTACCACAGTCGCCGCGCGTCCTTAAAAAATAAAAACGCAAACGGCTGGAATGAATACTGTGTATATTTGTATTGTAACTTTACTTGCTAACATTATATGCTAGATTTTGAAAACGACACTCTTAGATGATTCGACTCCGACAGCTGATAGTTGTGCATTTTTATCAATGCTGCAACCGCTTCGTCCATGCTCGGTAATTGTATTAACGCCATTTTTCGGTCTTTACTGCAACAAAACATCGAAAATCTTTTAGAATTTCAATGTTTTAACTTTTATGTGCCCTAATAAAAAACTTTTTAAGTTTTGCTTTATAGTAGATATTTTTTGTAATCAAGCCTTATATTTTTTACTAACTAGATATTTGTGTCTCAATATCTAACCAGCATACCATAACAAATATTAAAGGAAATTTGATATTGTATACTATGACCATCCTAATTATATATGTAAACGATTTATTAATCACTCAGTTTCCATTTCTTCTACTTATTCTGCAATAAATGCAAAATCAAAGCCATTACAAGGCAAAAACAGTTTATTTTCTAAGCCAACACTGACGTTTCACCTGTAGATGTGCTTTTCTTAAGATAGATTTTGGAGATAATAAACAATGGATACATGCCATTTTTCACATTCGACACCATCTAAAAGATATTTACTGACTCCAAATTTTACTTTGAAAAAGGCTTATATAGCTAGTTCAAAATATTTAACCTTTTACATACGCGAGAAGTGGACCTTATTGCATTCATACACGAGTATTAGCACATTGTATTAGCTAATCACACTTTTCACGTTTCTAGCCTAATAAAAGAGAAATCAAAAACTTACGGAAAGAATTTGAAAGCTTTAACTGTAAACCCGTTCTTTGTAAATGCTTCTTTAATATCCTCCTCCTCGACTGTGGCAGGTATGTTACTGAGGTGCAATGTGGCCGAAGGCGGATAAATATTCTGATAATTCTTTGAGCCTGGTTTCTTGAAACGATGCAAAGGACTCTGGCTATAGTCTTTTGTTAAACCCGCGTCAGGCTGACCCTCTTTTGGTAGTTGAACTGACTGATGCTTGCTCAACATTACTCTGATATGTTTGCCAAACACTTTCAGCTTGTCCATATGAGTTATGGCTACAAAAAGAAAACAAAAAAATTATATATTAAATATCTCAGCCGCCCCCAGCTACAACTTTTCATTTTGAATATAGTTATTGAGGAAAAAGGCATTAAACAACCTCCAAGGAAGAGAAAGTGTAATCAATAGGGAAAAAATTAAAATACTTACCTAAATGTGCTTGCTGTGGTTCTGCAAGTTGCACCAAAGCAGAATCTTTCTTGTTGTACAATATTTTTACCCGTTGTACATCACCGTATACTCCTGCCGTAATAAAATTAAATTAAAATCTCAGTTATATTAAACAAATATTAAATTGTTTCGATTAATTAAGTCAAAAAAATTTCAGCAGTCACAAAAAAAAAACGAAACAGTCAAAAGATAGAAGGCGAATAAATTATTATAAAGTTAGGCTGAAGTGTAACGATAGAATAGTTTTGTATTTAAAAATTAGTTGAAATCATGCAAACTGAAGAAAATGGTGGTACACATCGATAAAAATATCATGTCACTACAAGATTTTTTTGGTTTAAACAGAGGTAATTTAGGAAAACCAAATAAATAAATCATAACAATAGGACTAACTTGAAGCAGAAAGCCAAATTTTAATTATTTTGGAAAGTTAAAATTTGTAATTATTACATTAAAATAAAAATAAAATGAAAAATACAAGTACTGATAATTAATAAATTTATTATCCAATTCGTATTTTCTTATTAAAGCAACAGTTATTTGTTATTAAAAAATTGCCAACGTGAAAATATTAATATACGAATTGAATAATTCATTTAAGATTCTGTTATTTTTTAAAAAACGGTACTATTTGTAATGATTACTTACTTCAAAATAAATTGAAAAATAATTCTTTTCTGAAAAACTATAAAAAAAAATTTTGTCCAAACGCCACGTATTTAATATACCTATTTGATTTATCAACATATTTTTGTGAGAAATTAATGTCAAAAACAATTTATGCCATCGTTTTCGTAATTTTTAATATAATTGCTTAATGGAATGAAAACTGAAAATGAATCCGTCAAAAAACAACAGAATCAGTTTTTTAATCGACTATATGAAAAATATTTAGTTTGAAAGAAGCTGTGCACACGTACCAAATAGGGTAAAGAGAGCATCAGGCGTGACCATCTACGAGAAAAAAGATGACAATAGATGAACGGCAGCACATATAGAGGAGGTATGGCCATATAATGGCGGTATTGTATGTAAATAAAAAAATCAACACCACATTAGACGAAGTAACGACCATATACTTTATATATGTATGTAAAATGTATTTATATTCAGTGTAAAATAATAATGTAAGTCAAATAGTAATAATTTTATAAGTACATATGTCTAATGTAGTGTAAGATTACCTTACACCATGAGTATGTAACTCACTAAAAATTAAGTTCAAGACCATTATTTACAAATAAATAATTTAATTGTACAAGAAAATTATTTTCTTTTTTTTTTAACTTTAATTTTATTTTAACAGACTCATGATATAATATTTAACAGTATAAAATAAAGGAAAACGAAGAATATTTGTTGTATTATAATTAAAAGAAAACTAAAAACCAAAACGAAAAGAAATAATATTTTAATTGAAGGTTTTAACAGATACAGTTCACTCAAGAATTCGAAACTATTCTCTAAAGAATTTTAGTAATACCGAAACGCAAGAAATAGAAAGGAAATTATAAACTGATACAGTTTTACTTGTTATTTTCAAGTTCAATGTGTGAACTGTACACTATGTATAATAGTGGCGTATTTTTCAAAATTGAAAATTAATATTTAAATGAATAAAAAGAACTAAAGTGATTTCATTCCAAAACATGCCAGAATGGTTATTAAAAAATAAATAAATAAATTTAAACAGGAATGCAAGGCAGGATGCCTCACAATTTAAAAAAAAATATTTTAAATTTTTGAAACAATATATGTGTATCAATATTTCTTTTGTAAAACAATTATGTGCTTAAAACTGCACTTGGTAAAGGTTTTTTATTTTAACTACATTTTCTTAATTTTAGAATTGAATTATGCTTGTAGCACTAATTATATGCAAATTTTCAATATTTCAAAACTTTTGATATGTTCATTCATTTAAGAATTCTTATATACTGACCTCTTCATTAAGATTACTAACAAGAAGTACTGTTGCCAATTGAATGTTAGGGTTTGTCAAACCTCTTAGACCAGGGGCTGTTTGACCAAGTGCAAAACCACCGAGAGCTGGAATACCTCCAGCTACGCCTCCTGCATAAGGAGAAGCCAAGGGCGACGTTATTCCAGGTATAAAGGGATTGCTTAATACGCCAGGTGCACCTATAAAACCAACAGTAAACATTTTTCATAATTTATTTGTAAGTTAAAATCCTTATAAATTATCAAAATAGAATTACTGTTTATTAATAAGTTTTAACAAAAAAGAAATATTAAAAAAGATTTTGATATTTACCTGCAGCTAGTCGTTCTCTCGTAAGGCGAGGTTGGGTGGCTAAGAGTAAAGTCAAATCAGTTCCAAGGGTCGTGCCAAGACCTCCACTAAGGGCAGCTAATTGATTCTCGGTATCGCCAGATGGTAAATTCGGATTTGTAAAATCTCGAGACTTATCATTGTTGTACTTTACATTGAGTGAGGACATCTTTGAGTAGTCGATGCGCAGAGTGCAACAACTATTGTAAATATTTTGTCCATCCAAGGCTTGTTTTGCCGCTTGAGCAGACTGCGTGTCTGGATACTGGATCAGTGCTTGGAATGAACCTGCAATAAAAAAAAAACGTTTTTATGCTATATTTAGAGGAATATGATAATAATAAACTTACTGTTCTTTGTAAATGTAACGATCTTTAAAACCTTTCCAAATCGCTGGAATATCTGTAATTAAAAATAACAGTATAAGGACAGTCAGAAAAATTGAAGACGGAAAAAATAGAAATAGAAATTATTAGAATAATGATTAGTTTACTTACCACATGTAGTATTTCTAAGGTGATCGGGTAGATCATGTGCTCTATAATAACTCTAAGAACAGTGTTAGGCCCGCCTTGAATTTCTTGTCCGTTGGTCATAGGTGCAGGATTTGCGGCTGGAGTTCCAGGTCCTTGGGTCACAGAAATGGCTTGAGCGGCATGGAGGGCAGCCTGAGCCGAGGCATTCTGTAATACGACCTAACATCAGTTTAGTTGTTATCAAATAATGCGGATTGGTTTAAGTATTAAAACTACAAATTCGTTTGATAGTTACAGACCACAAAAATTGAAAGCATATTGTTAATTTATTAAATTATATAAATAACGTACTCTTGAGAGATGAAAAACTAGAATACCTTTTCCAGTTTTTGATTTATTGCTTTCCTGTTTGCGAAGTTTTCTACTTCAGTTTTATCTCAAATATAAATTATGCTTCAATAGATAAGAAGGAAATAACAAAAAAGCATCATCAACCAATTAAACCCATTGGGGGTTTTCAACTTTTTCTTTTCCAGAAGTTGTTGAAAAGTTGTTTAACACTTTACACTTAGAAAGAGGATCTATCTTGACTAAGAGCTTTATGTTTACTTAAGGGTAGTAAACCCTTTTACGTTTATTCATATAAAGGGATGCTATCTAGATGTCGTGTAAGTTTTTGTTACCTATGCTCGCTACTCTTCGAACAAACACATAATATATACATAGGTATAATTAATAGCTGGTACTGCGCCGTTTACAGAACTTTGCTGAAGGAACAGCAACAGCCTTTCGGCAAGTTCTAAAGAGAAAATACAACTTCTGTGTTAAACTTAACTGGACTATCAAAGTGTGTTTACATTAGGCGGGCAGTTCAAAGGCGGAAAGACAAATTAACTGCCCTAAAAACACACTCGCCAAGAAAACGGATCGAACGGTAAAATAATAATTATTGCTCTGAAATGTAATTGCAAAAGTTAGTAAAGCAAAGTGAAGCAACTTTTGAGTCCAAGTCCAAGTATTTTGAAAAGAAAGACTTCGCTGTCAAACAATGACCACATCATGAGTTACTACTTTCTTTTTGACACAAGAAGCAATCAATTACTGTATACTTCATTTAATTTGTCTAGCGATGTGCCCCTTCCAATGTCTTGGATGCGCGCTGGCAAAATCGTAGGTAAGGAGAAAAAAGCTCATTATACTCTCGAATCTTGTTCATTAAACACACTTTTTCAATTCAATCATGAATAGTAGTGCGAGTCGAAAACAAGCGTTAAGGCCTTTAATATGACTTCAAATATAAATAAACATCTATATTTTCAGTAGTAAATGGTACCAATAACAGCACATTTGAGCAATGCAATTGTAGTGGATAAAATGGTCAATTTTTCCGTGCAGTACTGTACGGATNAAAATCGTAGGTAAGGAGAAAAAAGCTCATTATACTCTCGAATCTTGTTCATTAAACACACTTTTTCAATTCAATCATGAATAGTAGTGCGAGTCGAAAACAAGCGTTAAGGCCTTTAATATGACTTCAAATATAAATAAACATCTATATTTTCAGTAGTAAATGGTACCAATAACAGCACATTTGAGCAATGCAATTGTAGTGGATAAAATGGTCAATTTTTCCGTGCAGTACTGTACGGATTATACGCTCCTTATTGGTTAAGAGTTTGATCGAGAGTTGTCTCTTTCCTTTTCTGGCCTAGTGCTGTTCTTTTCTATTTTGTGTCGGTCAAACTGAAGGTCACATCGCTAAACGAAGTATATCTAAACTACTAAAACATTTTTCTTTTAATTACGAATAACAATGTGGATGACACATATTCAAAACTTGATCTATTATTATTAATTAAATATATTGTTACTACGTTTATTTGTTAACTGTTTGTAATAGAAAGCAGTGTGTACGTTTGAAAAGAACTTTCATAAATTTAATTATAGTTTTAGTCATGTTTCGGGAAGGTAATTAAACTTTTAATTTACTTGGAATTTGAAAACCCAAACTAACGTACCTTGGAAGTTTCCGAACTATCGATCATTTAATATCTTGCAAAAGGAGAGGATACGCAAGTAGCAACGTCAAGATATTTATACATACACTAGGTTTTACACGCTGTTTCGCTCGCGTTGATGTCCTAAATGCGTATCAAAGATCATCGATGATCATATAAAACTAATTTTTCTATCCCTCGGGAACAGTATTTTTTTCTGGATAAAATATCCTTTTCTTGTATTCTTGACAATGTATGTAGAAAATTTCATGATGATCGGATGAGTAGTTAAGGCATGAAATGGTGCAAATAAACACACTCAGATTCGCATTTATAATATTAGCTAAGATACTCAGTCTTTTAAAAAAATTAAGTGTATTTAAATGTTTGATGATTTTTTCTACGCTAATTATATTTTGAAAAAATACAGAAAAGGATAAGAAGAAAACTGGCTACGACTATTTGCAAATAGAAAACGAAAATATTAAAGAACAAAGCTTGATAATGTGTAATTTTGGCCTCTAATACAGCTAATAATCTTTTTATTCTTTAACTTTAATAAAAGCATACCAAAACAGTTCTAAAGAAGTCATATAGGCTATATCATAAATCAAAAATGTGCCTACGGTTTATGTATACTTCTTTACGTTTTTTTACGATTAGCTACAAGGACTTGAAATGCGGAGGATGACTGATGACGTAATTTTTAATAATATTGGCTTCATGAGCATGAAGAGTAGTTTTTGTAGAAATCTATTACAAGTGGGGTATTGAATAAAGGGAAAATGGCACAAATAATTTTTGTTCAGCGCACAAAGAAAAACGGAGAACGAATTTCAGTGAAATTTCTATTATTGTATTCTGTAAACATCTGCAAGTATAACAGGGTGAACTATATTAGGGTTCCTCAACAATTAAATACGGTTCTGTACTATAATTATAAGGCTATTGAGCGCGTGCAAAGTTGCAGGTTGGAATACAGGTTTCTTCCTGTTAGTCATCATCATAAGGTCGTCAGTCCTAAAACTGATTAGACACGTACCTCCACTCTTTCCTATCCTGAGCTAATCTTCGCATTTCCCTTAAACTAGAACAACCCACATCCTTAACTATTTGCGAACAGTAATCTAACCTAAGTCTACCTCTACCCCTCTTAACTCCTGTTTCTGCTTCTAATATGTCTCTGACTAGACCTTCATGCCTGAGAAGTTGTCCTACTAACCTATCCCGCCTTTTTTATTGACTTCTATAGAGTCCTCTGTTCTCCTATTCTTCCTAATACCTCTTTATTTTTAACCTTTTCTACCCACGTTATCCTCATCATTCGCCTATAACACCACATTTCGAAAGCTTCTAACCTTTTCTTTTCCGCCCCGCCCACTGTCCATGTTTCGCACCCGTACAACGCCTCGCTTCAAACCTACACCTTAACAACCTATTTCGAATTTCTAAATTAACCGTTCGCGAACATAGAAGTGACTTCTTTTTATTAAAGGCGACATGACCCTGCGCTATCCTCTGCTTTATATTCCTGTTAGTATCACTGATTATTTTTTATTTATATGTACTGAAATAGCTACATGTATTTATTTATATATACGTATATTTATTGTATTTCTGAATGTAATTATGATTCTCTTACACAGGGCAATATTTGTGAAATAAAAAATAACTTCAAAAGCAACAGCAAAATACATTCAATTCCGATTTTCATACTTCCGAAAATATTTTCTAATTTGGAAGCATGGTGACTACTTATCTATGTGGAAATATATATTTATAATTTAACACATCAACAATTATCTATTGCAAAGCCGGTTAATAGTCAATATCATATCAAAATTCGCATAAAAATGCGAATGGATCCCGAATGACGGGGGCGACAACAGTTTTCGTTTTCACTTGCCTATTTGCTTTCTATTTACGGCTTTACAATGGTGGTGAATAAAAGAAATCAGGATATATTTAACTACAGGTAGTAAAATTTTTATTACAGCCCTCCGTACTGACACACACGGCGGAAGCCAGAATAAACACGGAAGTTGTAAAACATGACTTGTACATAAATTTATGTTGCGCATGCACAATCAACAAAGTGTTAACATAGGCAAAAGGTACTGTATTTAGAACTAACAGGCGAATGAAAGATGCTACAAAGTATTAAAAACTACATCGCCAATTTTATAATTTCAATATACCTACATACGATTAAAAAAAGAAAACATTTCGATACTTTGTCTATGTACATACTTAAACTAAAAAGGTAAGAAAGTTAAAAACAGGAAACTAGCTAATTTTTGACCGTTAGAGATGGAATATTTTCTTAAAATTTATATAAGACCATCTTTGAGATATTGTATAAAAAAAAAAGAATCAGGAAAATTAGAGATGTACCGGATGATGATTTTGTTGGGTACCGGATAACCGGGTGGGTACCCGACCAAGTATCCCAGCAAACGACCACCATTAATGGCTCCTGTCAATTTTGGTGTTGTTATTCTTCTTCCACTTATATTAATTTTTTTCAGTTTATGACAAATTATTAGCAGGTAATAATAAATAATAATAATCGAATATTTTGTTAACCCCGCGAACTATATTTNTGAGTTTACATTCTGATAGTTGTTTATTCAAGAAACTAAAACAAAATTTATTTCCTATATTTGCTTTTTGACGTTGAGTTTTAGATTTTAAAATTCCTATTAGATTACCAACTTTGAAATCAAGAACAGTAATACGTATGATTAATTGAATCTAAATTAGTTATTTATTGTAAAATTAGACTTAAAATCCGTGGAATTTCTATAATTTTATTGTTAAATTAACATATGTTTCGCTACGTTGTGTCTTATTCAGAAGTGACACACACCTATCACCCTAGGTGTGTGTCAACCTATCATAACAGTTAGATGTATAGAGAGGGTTAAACGTTGAAGAAACGAAAACTGAAATTTTCAGTTATGAAACAAATCAATTGTAAATACATAGTAGACTAGACATTACAGCACGATATTTTTAGAATAGATACTTTTACAAAAGCTATTAACCCGTTTTACTGAAACCAACATTTTAAAATAAAATTACTTGTGGATTTCTTGTTTTGCATGTATAACATGTATAACTAATCGTTGCATACTTCACACGTCATGTACTTTAGTTTTTTTAAAATATCCGGGGCCTAAATAGTAAGAATTATTTTAATAATCTTGTTCTATTA